TAAAACACACATATAATCTTAAAAAAAAAAAAGATAGCCAATCTTAGCCTGGTGATGATGGTACCTGTCTTTAATCCCAGCATCTAGGAAGAGACAGATGAATCTGAGATCCAGGCCAGCCTGGTCTACAAGAGTTTGTTCTAGGATAGCCAGGGTTACATAGAGAAACCTCGTCTTAAGCCAATCTGATAAAAGATCTAACAGAGGATGTGTTCCCTTTCAACAGACAGGTGAGCTGGAATGTCTTGGGGAAGCTAAGTGGTCCCCCTGGTGGAAATCATCTGGTTTTGAAGGATAGAGGCGTAGAAAGACTGGGCCAGATGGAAGTGCATGCCAAAAGCTGAACACAGGGAGCCAACTGTGTCAGTCCATCAAGGGGCAGGTGAACTGGCAGGTTTTACATGTAAACACCTGAGGCTTGTGGGAAGCCATTCTCCCACGATCATGGTCCTCTGGACTTTGAAGTACAACTGAAAGCAGAGAGCCAAAGGTCACCAACTTTCTCTACCTGCCATCTGTTCATAAAGTTTTCTCAACACTGTACAGCAGTGCTGGGCCAGTATTAACATCAGCTATATATATACACCAGCAGTCCTCAGCCTGCCCTCTCCTCACCCTACCCTCCACCCCAGGTAGCAGGCATCTGACACTGGTGGAGACACTTCAGTCTTCAAATTCAAGGTATTGTTGCCATAAGAGATGATAAGCCAGTGATGGAAGACATTCTTCAGAACACAGGGCCAATCTTCCTCCTCCCGAATGTCCACACAGCTGCCCACTTCTGAGAGTGGAGCTGAGACATGAATAGAAGACCAAACCAGAGGCTCAGAAGGAGGAGACCAGGAAGTTGGAACTATAAACTCACAGTCACATGAAGGAGATACAAAGTTAAAAAGCGAGCCAGCTGGTAGTGGCTTACACTTTTAATCACAGCACTCTCAGAGGCAGAAAAAGGTGGATCTCTCTGAGTTGAGGACCAGCCTCGTCTACCATCGAGTTCCAGGCCAAATAAACCCTGTCTCAGGAAACACACACACACAAATACACGCCAACCCACCCTCCCCAAAGAAGTCACGCGTGAAGTCAATCGTAATTTTCTTTAATGCAAGACATTTAAAGGAATATCATTCACCAATACAATCAGTGTTAAATAAAATAAACTGTGGTTTCTTTTTCCACATCACGCCTGGCCTGACCATTCATCCGCCTGGGAAGGGGCTGCGGGCTCACCCAGGGATCCTGGAGGCCTTGATAGAAGCCTGTTGTAGGATTCTCACCCAGGAAACGAATTCAACCCACTGGCCCATGGGGTACCACGTGCGCCCCTCCGACCAAAGCTTACGGGTTCCTCCCATTATAAAGCTCCCCCAACCAGACCTTGCCTCCCCACCTGCTCTGATGAGGCCTTGGGCAATGGCCTCCGCCATGCGGCCTGCACCCACGAAGCCCACACGCCGAGATTCAGACATTGTAGCCGCCATTCGTCTCTGAGCTGGCCTTCTCTCTTCCTTGCGGCAGCGGGCCCCGCCCACTACAGCTGCCTTGACGGACAGAAGCGACTGGGCGGGTTCGGGGCGGGCTCCGGGAGGACAAAGGGGCGGGGCGGGGCGGGGCGGGGCGGGGCGAGCGCAGACGCTTGGATTTTGTTGCCTGAGGAGAGATTTTCCCCAAGCCTAGGTTAACAGGCAAGTGATTTTGCTGAGGGGAAAGAAGAGAAAGGATGGGGAGCGAGTCCTAAGCAGGCTGTCTAATTCCTCCTGAGAAACCCAACGCTAGGGTCTCTCCAAAAGCCTTACAGAGAGATTTAGAGGGAGAAAAAAAAAAAAAAAAAAAAACCGCTTGAACGACCCCAGGACGGGCCTGGCGTGTAAGGTCCAGCTTTTGCCTAGCTGTGTGCCTTGTGTTCAGTCTTTGGAGCCCTTGGAGCGGGTTCTGGCTCTCCACATTAAAAGCTGCACTAACCACCAGTCACCAGTACACAGCACTTACTTTTTAATTAAAAAAACAAAACAAGGGGCTGGAGAGATGGCTCAGCGGTTAAGAGCACTGATTGCTCTTCCAGAGGTCCTGAGTTCAAATCCCAGCAACCACATGGTGGCTCACAACCATCCATAAAGAGATTGGATGCCCTCTTATGGTGTGTCCGAAGACAGCTACAGTGTACTCGTAATAAAATAAATAAAATAAATCATAAAAAAAAAAAAACAAAACAAAACTTTTGTGTCCTTTAGTGTTTCACCAGAATAGTTATTTGTATTGAATTCCACATATAGTCACTTAGCTGGCTATATGTATAGTCATTTAGCTGAAGCAAAAGAGCAAAGGAAAGAAAAAGCAGGCAAAACAAGAAGCCTCAAACAGAACAAGGGCAGATTTTCGCGAGTAATCAGAAGTAGAGCTGTGGTGGTACACACCTTTGGTCCCGGTCCAAGGCAGGTGGATCTCGAGTTTAAGACCAGCCTGGTCTACAAGGCAAATTCCAGGACAGCCAAGGCTACAGAGAGAATCCATTTCAATCATCATCATCATCTTCAGGGTCTCATCCAAATTACCAATACAAACAAGTAAACTTAATTTTTATTTCCTAAAGTAACTGAGTCAAAAGTATACACGGGCTTCCTACAAACTGGATAAAGGTGGTTTGTTGCTGTTTTGTTCTGAATGTGTGTAATTAGGCAAATTAGAACACGGCACTTAGAAGGGTGATGAATGCTCTTTGGGCTGTGAGGTCCTACAGTAAAGATGGCCTCCCCTGCTTGCCACAACTGGGATGTGGTGGACAGTTCCTTCCTCTTTCACTGTGCAAGGTGAAGAGTGTATTCCCTCATCTTTCCCCAGACCCGACCAGAAGCCTAAGATCGCTAAGTCTGCCGGACACTAGATGGAAACCTGTAAAACCAGGAGCTAAAAACTGAAGCTAAGTAAAGCTTTCCCTTCTTAGAAGGTAGCAGTCTCAGGTAGCAACAGAAAGCAGGTCAACACAGGGAGCTTGCAGAATCTTCCCTATCTACAGAGACAAAAATCCATTCAGGAATGTCTATGGTGGGGGACAAAGAACATGGACATGAACACGAGTGTAAGGAATTTCTGTATTCTGGGCTGCAACCAACAGCACCTGGAAGTATTCAAGGTTTAGACGTGGCCTCAAGCCGGTTGGAAAATGCATGCAGCTGCCTGGCCAGATCAAGGCACTCTGATTCTTAGGACCGAGTGCATTCCTTGACATAATGACACTTTTAACACACTGATTGGTGATCACTTGTCAACGGAGTGTCTGGCAAGTTCTGATAAACTCAGATCAGCTCTTCCTGGCGGCTGGGAGTTACATCTTAATGCTCTGGCCTGCTTCGTGGATGCTCATCAGAGGACGAGGTTTAAAGGAAGTCTGGAGATGGGCACTGGGAAGGCATGGGCCAGAGGCAGACGGGGCAGTACAACATAGGAGGGGGCAGCTGACAACACTGCTTTAGAGTGCATGACCAGGCAGGCCCTGATTGTCATGCTAGAAGACAAAAGGCCTCAGATGCAGGCTGAAAACCAAGGGTTCGTGGAATGAGAAAAAACAACTGGCTATCTTTAGTACTTCTAGGAGGTTAAGAGGCAGAATGTATAGGAGGGTTGGGCTGAGTGGAGAAAGCTGAGCAAGTTATGAGACCCCAGCTGATCACCTGGAAAGGTGCTGGGCCAAATGGGCGTAGCTTCTGAGGGGAGGGGCCAAGTGGAGGTGTGAGTTGTCCATTCTGACTGCATCTGAAATTAATTAAAATACAAGCTGCAGGGTAAGCCTTCACAGGATTCTTTTGGATTATTAGAAGCTGGAAGACCCACTGTAAAGCAAGGCAGCGCCTTCTGGTGGCAGCTCCATAACAGGGCAACTTTTTTTTGCTTGTTTGTTGCTGCTAGACCCAAACCCATCTAGGGTCCCAAAGTACACAGTACACAGGAGACCAGCAGCTCTCCAGGAGTCCTCCAGGCCTTCAATGGCAGGCTGGGATTGCTGAGACATGCTGGCCTGTCCAGTGTTAGTCATTGTTGCACTACCCAGAGCACATCCTGTAAGCCAGTCTAATAAATCATCTCACATGTGTAACAGTTCTGTTCCTTTCCAAAACCCTGACGTGTCCAGCAGCCCATTGTCAGCTTTAGCTATGTGGCTGGTGGTTATGATTCATCACCTGGGAAAGCCTTAATGTTATCACACAGGTGCCAACTGTCACTTCTGCCTGCCTGGAGCTGTAGCTCTTGAGTCTTGAAAGTAAATGTTCTCCTCTGCTCTCTCCAGTCTTCAGGGACAGTAGTAGCTCCATTTCAAGATTGAGGTGTCGAGGGGCCTGTAACCTCCAACCCCATGTCATCGTGGACAAGAAACAATCTTAGGTGAATGAAGTCTAAGATGGGAGCCTGAAAATGACCCAGAGCTGAAGTAGTGAAAGACAAGCAATGCCAAAGTGATCTGCCCCAAGCTGCAGCAGCCTTAGGTGGATTCTCTCGTGCTGCCCTAACTAGCCTGGATTTGACCATCTAAGAATGAATAGATCAGAAATGTCCATGATGTCACCACATAGGTGGCTAAAGCTCACCAACAAGGGCAGGCCTGGGGGGTGGGGGGTCTAGAGAAATCTGGGTCACCCATTACCAACCCTCCTTGCAGGCCCATCTTTGTGTCCCCAGATGAGCACTGAATCTGTCCAAATCGAGACCCACCTTCCTTCACCACAGTCCTCAAGTCTGAGAAGAGTGGGCAGTGTGTGACCACAAGTGAAGGGCTAAGCATGGCCAAGATACAGGCTAGGCTGTTGGGGAGGTCCCCTGAGCCCCAGACCTGATACCACTGACTTCCTAACTCCACACTCTGGTCCTTCACACAGGGACTCTTGCCCTGGGCCCAGTAGCTCTTAGGAGCTAAGTAGCACATAAGGGACAGTGAGTCCCAGGCCAGGCCAGGCCAAGAAGGCTATGCTGTGGGGAGGAGAAGGCTGGTACAGCTTCTGAGTCCAGGCTCATGAAAACCCATTTTATTGGTTTCTAGTCCAGCAGAGACACACTGAGGTCGGACAGAAGCAGGTAAGCAAGATGTTGGTCTTGCCTTTCCTCAAGGCTGGACGTGGGCCCTACTGGACAGCAGCATGGAGAATCCTGGCAAAGAGGTCGGCATGTGGCTCAGGTGGCTGGATACTAGCCTCAGTTCTTGGTGGGAACTGAGGGTGGTGACCACTGACTGGGCATTGCCAGGTGAGCACCTGCTTGTCCCGTGCTTTACTTCCGGGCCTGCTCGTAGTTGTCGGTGAACCAAGCACAGGTTTCTTTCACAGCTGCAGAGACAGACAAGTGACAGCCAGTAACTACCCTGTCCCCCAGGAGGTAGGGAGGGTGCCCCTTCTCTAATACCCTAAACTATAGTGTCCTGCTTCTCAGTGTAGGTATAGGCTCTGTTAAGGGTCTGGTGACCAAGCCAGCAGAGCACCAAACCCCATGGTCCCAGTATGGAGGCTAAGACTTCAGGAGGGAACAGGGAGAAACTGCTGGTGCTGAAGCCAAGGGCTAATTGGCAAAGAGCCTGTAGGCAGGTTGGGGTGGTTAAGGGTTTTGGAAGAGACAGGAACTTACCCTGCTTGAAGGGTGTGAAACGGAAGTCAGGCAAGTAGGACCGCAACTTGCCATTACTGGCTGTCTTCTTATACTGCCCATCTGCCTTTGTTGAATCAAACTGGATACCTTGGTCAAGACCATAGCAGAAAGAGCACTACCCCCTCCTGCTGCCAGGGCAAGCACCACCAGAAACAAAATGGTGTTATGTTAGCCATCCTACAAGGGAAAACCGAGTTACCCCTCCACATTGTCTCACCAGCGGTCCATCACCAGAGCCAAAGGATACAGTGACTTCCCCAGAGAAGTCCATGGCCTCCACTACAGCCTCAGCTGCCTCCTTGATGGACACCTCATCTTCCTCGCCCACTGTGGGGAACCATGGGCCAGTAGTCAGTCAGGCCTCCCTGTCCAGACCCCTAGGGGCATTGTCTGCTCCCACTCCTCAGGGTAGATACAAGTCCTGCCCTGCTGTAGGAAAGGCAGCTGCAGAATGCCCACCTGAGAGGATGATGGGTTCCACCTCATTGTACTCCCTCAGGACCCAGATGAAGAGCCGGGCTAGGTCCTGGAGGTCAAAAGGTCAGGTCAGATATCCATAAGTGAGCACCAAATGCCCTACTGGGGAGGCTGGACCACTGTTTCTGCTCCCTTGGGAGCACAGCCAGGGCTCACCCTGATAGAGGTCCCTCATTCAGGGCATACTTTCTCCTACTGAGCCGAAGTCGCACCCTGGGGACTTGGCAAGGTTCAAGGACTGTTTCCTAGGCCCCCCACCTCCCACGCAGCTTTACTGGAAAGGCCATGCTCCCCACAAACATACCAGCGAGTAGATGAACTGCCTCCGAGGCTTCCCTGTACCCCACACCGTCAAGGCTGAACCATTACCTACAGATGGGTCAGGTGTCAGAGCTCTGTGGCCAGGCCTAGTTCCCTGGCCACCCCACAGCTGAGCATAAAGGCCCCTCAGGCAGGTAACCTGGGCCAGGCGTGTGCCGGACAGCTGCACTCACTCTTGGCCAGGTGCACCTTATGGATGAGGCCGGGCAGCACGTGGCCATCTTCGATGTTGAAGTTGTCATAAGGCCCAAAGACATTGGTAGGGATGACAGCAGTGAAGGTACAGCCGTGCTGCTGGAAGTAGGCCCTGTGGAGGCACAGTGTCTCCCGGTACCATCCCCAGAATGTGCCCCTAGTGTCCCCAATTCCTTCTGAAGCTGGCTTCTTAAGAATGATATAAATGAGGCAGCAAGAAGGCCTCACTAACCCAAGGGTCCATCCTCCCCTCTCCAGGGAGGCCTGGGCCAGACCAAGAGGGAGCACCTGTTCTGCACGTCAATCATCCTCTTGGCATATGAGTACCCAAAATTGCTGCTGTGAGGTGGCCCGTTGTGGATCTGGAGGAGGAGGAGATGCACTGAGAGCCCCTACTTCTTTGTTATGCCCACACCTTCAGGGGCCACCCCAGGAGGCCCTGTGCCTCACCATTGTCTCATCAATAGGATAGGTGGTCTTGTCAGGGAAGATGCAGGTGGACAGGCAGGAGACCACCTTGCGAGTGCCCACCTCGAAGGCCGAATGCAGGACGTTGTCATTGATGTGAACGTTCTTCCTCTGCAGTGGGTAGCACAGGTGGGTCAGGCTGCCTCTGGAGAACCCAAGCTCCCTCCTGATCCTCCACAGACAGACATGGGAGCATGCCCTGGCTCAGAGATGGGCACTATCTGTGCCTATGGATTTGAAGTGCTTCTAGAAAAAGGCTAAGCCTTCCAGCACTGACCTCATGGAAGCCGTCTTCCTCTAAGACCATAAGGAGGTCCTGCCCTGCCTGCCTGAGTGTGGAGGCCAGAGGGGCATCCTCAGGGCTACTGAGTGCGGGGAAGGTAGTAGAGAAGAGGAAAACTTTAGGTGGGGTTCCCACTACAAGGGAGATGCCTTCCTTCCACTTCTAACTCCAGAGGAGCCGTGCCCTGCTGTGCTCAGTGCTTTGCCCTGCGCCTCTCCAGTTCTCTTCCCTAAGCATACAGAAGGCAGGCACACTGGTCTAAGAGCAGGGGGGAGGTAGAGACCGGGCAGTTTGCTGAAAAGACTGGGATGGGCAAGGGGAGCTTTGGGTGAGAGTCCTGGGGCAAAATCTGGTGGGAACCTTTGCATACTGCAGGCTAGTCAGGCTGGCTAGGTCAAGGCCACTGACTGCCCAGAGGCAGGTGAGCCAACTCTTAGGAGCACGGTCAGCAGAAGCAGGGCTCGCTCCTCCTCCTAAAGCACATGCTATAGACACTCCAACATCCGGGAGTGGTTGGTAGATCCAGAAAGCTGAGGAAACCAAGCCTGAGAGCACGAGAATCTGGCAGCATGGCCAATGATGGAGCATGCCTTTAGTCCCAGCACTCCAGAGGCAGAGGCAGAAGTAGGTGATGGATCTCTGTGAGTTTGAGGCCAGTCTTGTCTATACAGAAAGTTCCAGGACAGCCAGGGGTACACAGAGAAATCCTGTCTCGAAAAACAAACCAAACAAACAGCCCCCCCCCCGAAAAAAAAAAAAAAAAAAAGAAAAGAAAGAAGAAAAAAAATTGGGGGGCTGGAAAGATGGCTCAGCAGTTAAGAGCACTGGCTGCTCTTCCAGAGGACCAAATCCCAGCACCCACATGACAGCTCACAACTGTCTGTACCTCCAGTTCCAAGAGATCGGACATCCTCACTCTGACATATAGATAGATAGGTAGGTAGATAGATAGATAGATAGATAGATAGATAGATAGATAGGGGTTGGTGAGATGGCTCAGTGGTTAAGAGCACTGACTGCTCTTCCAGAGGTCATGAGTTCAAATCCCAGCAACCACATGGTGGCTCACAACCATCTGTAATGATATCTGATACATATACCTCTTGTGGGGTGTCTGAAGACAGCTACAGTGTACTTACATATAATAAATAAAATTAAAAAAAAAAAAAGATAGATAGATAGATAGATAATCTGCCAACTAAGCAAGCTCAGTCTCGGATACTTAGTGTGACATAGTGTGGTATACAGGCTTCTTTCAGCTTCCCAATCCTGCGGGTCACCACTTGGCCTGTCCCCAGGGCTGTACAAAACAAGCCCTCAGGGACTTCTTGGGGTAGATCTGTGGAAGTTTCAAGAACCTAGGCTCCTGACTCCCAATGCTTGCTGCCCCTGAGCACTCTAACTTACCCAGAAATCCAAGTTGTATTTGATATTCCGGAAAAGGCCGCCTACCATTGCAGCAAGATGGATGACGTGGGTGGGCTGTACCTTTTGGAACAGAGCTTGAGTTTGTGCTGCATCCCTGAGGGAAGGCAGGATGTCACGGGGGGGCCTAGGGAGGCCTGAGGAAATCAGGAGTTAGGAGCTTGGGCAGTGAGTATGGAAACGGAATGGGTCCATGGCTGGAAGGGCAACCACAGAAAGGAGTAGCTAAGTTCAGGGCTTTAGCAGCTGTCAGTTGTGGGAATCCCGGAACTATAGGAGGATGTTTACTTAGAGCACAGCCAGCAACCACAGCCAGATCAGTCACCTGGCAGGGAGGACCCAAACTCGGGGTAGATTACTGCTAGGCTCCGGAACAAACCCCGAAAGGTACTATTCAGTCTGGAGGGGGAACCAAGAGGGATTGGGTCTGAATATGGCCCCAACTTACGTCAGATCTGCATCTTTGGAGGAGACAAACACCCATTCCTCTCCAGGCAAGCCGGCCCCATCTGCGACCACCTTCTGGATGGCTCTGCCCACCAGTCCAGAGCCCCCTGTCACTAGGATCCTCATGGATCCGTGGGGTTCACCCATTGTGATCTGCACCTGGAGGGCCAAATGACATTAGCTAAGGAGGATATAGGATGTGGCATTTTCCCTACCCCATTCTCCTTGGCCAATGGCAGCAAAGAATCAAAACTCCCAAGGAGCAGCGACAACAGGCTGACAGACACACCCAGCTCTGTTCCCCCAAGAAGTCCTTTGCCCTGGGCATTATAGGCTCCTGCTGGCTGCCATCCAAAACAAAGCAGGTTGGTCCCAATCCATAACTCTACTAGGCAGAGGAAAGGTACACCTCATCCCTACGACTGCAAAAGTAGGGCTGGCAGTTCCTTGCACAGATCGTAGCGGCTGCTTCTCCCCAGTGTTCACCCTACAGACAGACAAGGGGCGGTGCCCGTACTTGAAGCCCCGTACCAACAAGTGCTGAGCTGGTAGCCTACGACCTAGGAAAGCCTAGTTCTTCTAGGGCAGGGTGCACCGCTGGACGGTCGCAGGACCCTGGAAATTTGTTACGGTCCCTGTAGGGAGTCTCTGGACCAGCCGCATGGCTCCACCATTACCCAGATGAGCAAGAGCCCGGCCCCCAAACCCCTTGGTTCCCGACCCAACCCGACCCCACTCAGACCCACGATGAGAGACGCACTCATACGGCCTTAACCAGCTTGAGAGGGCCCCTGTTTACTGCATCATACCCAACTGTAAGTCTCACCTGCGATGGGTTCCACCAGTCAAAGAGCTACTTCCGGTACACAATTCTCCAGCAACTCCCGGTTCCAGTGGAGGGGGCGAGGCCCTCCCAGGGAACTCTGGGAAATGGAGTCTTCTTGTGCGCCAGTGAGACGCGGGCCCTTCTGGGAAATGTTTTCTGGGCCCCATGGCCATCTGGGAAACTGAGTCCTGTTTGTCCGCCAGAACTGCAATTCAGAGGACAAGTGGCCTACCCAGACATACTCTGGTGGTCAAACGGACACAGGTCCCGCAAGAGACTAGTGGGCTGGCCACGGATCTCCAGTTCTTATCCTGCAACGAAGACCACTTCCCATTGGCTCTTCTGCATGTCTTTGAGTGGCTATGCGCCAGGCTGAGTCAGCATCCCTCACCGGTTGTGTGTTCCAGCCAAGAATTCACAGAAAACTCGATTTCTTCACCTAAACAGAGTATTTTAAAGCAGTGGATAAAATCTCTTCTACCTCGACAACATCTTAAATTGTGTTTCAAAAGGAAAAAATAAAATATCAGCCAAATGGGGCACATGTTGGGATGGCGTTTTTAAAGGCACGTAACTCCAAGCCTGTTTATCTGAGTTTGATGCACTCGGATGCACTTAGTGGAAAGCCAGAACTGACTTCCCCAAGTCATTCTCTGATTTACATAGTCTCTGAAAAAAACAAGAATCAATCCAAACCAAACCAAACAAATGAACAAAAAAATAGACACAGGCTGAAGAAATGGCTCAGGACATTTGCCAACAAGTCTGATGACCTGAGTTCAATCCCCGCCCACCTCTGGAACCCAGATAAATGATTGGGAGGAGAACTGGCACACTTGTGTTCTTCCTTAAGGTCAGACTTTATTGGGCAATAATACATTCAGAAGGCACAGTGGTTTCCATTGGAATAATATGCCAATAGTCCAGATTTTCTTGATACTGAGCTGAAGCAAACAAAAATTATTTTATTACAATCCTAACTATGATTATTAACTTTGAGATTACGGATTACAAATCTCACGGTGAATCTGTCTGCAGTGTCTACATGTAGGCTGGAGGATGTCTACGGTTAAAGAGGGTGCAGCAGAGTCCAAGGAGTTCCAAAGTGGCCAGAGAGGCAGAAGCAGAAAGCGGATAGGGGTGACAAGAGTCCCTGCGGTGGGTAAGAGTCTGGTAACTGTTCCGTCAACCTCATGAACCAATGAGTTTATTGGGGTTACTTACAGGCGTTATATCACTAAAATCCCACCCCAGCATGGATGGTGACTCGAGAATGCTGGACCCCCAGATCTTTTTGCATGGTTTGCAATTAGCTACGCAGGTCCCCCCTCCCCAGCTGTCTTATATAATCTGGGGTCAAGAGGGGGCTTGTGAGTCTGGCGTCAGGAACATCTTGAGACTTGTGAATTGTTAGCTTCTGAAGTCTTAAGGAGCCTCTCCCTGTGAAGTGGAATGTTTCAGAATCTTTTATTTACTCCTTAACAATTTTATGCGTGGGTACAATGCATTTTTATTAAATTCACATTTATTAGTTCGATTATCCCTCTGCGCCTCTCCTAACTTTTATGTCTTTTAAATGGCTCGTTGGATATAGTCAGGGTTGCTTGCATGAGCACATGTGTAGGGTCATTTATTGGAGCTTGGGGAACTTCCCACACTGACAGACACAGAGACTTTCTTCACTGATTACATTTCAAAGAATGATGTAGCCAGACTTTTGGCTACTTTGTGGGTTCTTTTTTTTTCTCCCACCCCTTCACCCCCTAACACTAGATAGGAGAGAAAAAAGAATAGAGGGGAAAGGAGGCATTGCTATCCTTAGACTATGTCCTGTTGATTAGGGGCATCGAGTTTCTTGGGGCAAGTTTGACCTTTGCCATCAGGATATCTAATTTCGTCTTGTCTCTTCTTTGCACACAACTGCTTAACAAATGGCAACCAACAGCAATCAAACAATGAACAACCCACAACCTCTCGGGGCCCTACTATTTATATACCTCTGAAGCGTCCCCAAAATTCCAAATGTGACACAATCACAGACACTATCTGCCTCTGCCCCTGGAAAAATCATGCCCCTGCTAGAGCATGAGGCAAATCATAGTCAGTTCTTGTGGACAATCTGAAGCAACCCTATATCCCACACCTGGAATTAAAATGAAAATACATTCTTATAATATTTCTGTGTTTTTAAATAAATGAAAAAATCTCACTAATTCCCCCCCTGTTGTTTTAAGCCATTAATTGTATTGTGTTTAGCAGGAAATTGTAATCAGAGACATTTTCAATGAACTAAGCAATTTTTGGATCAGTGGCCACAGTTTTCAGGATGCCTCTCCTGCTCAATCCTTTATAAGTATCTTTTGATAGTATCCACAGCTTTTCATTTCCTGTAGAGATATAAACAAACCTGTGTCCCCAACATAAAACTTTTGCAGACTTCCATTCTGATGTTAACACATTCCTATACATAGGTGTAGCGGGAAATTTTCCCTGCAAGTTGGGAGGAGCTAAGGTGGGAGGAGTAAGGAGAGGAAGAGGAGGAGCAAAAGGAGGGGAGATGTAGGAACCATGAATGGCCATGCATGTATCGAGAGCAGTCCTGGGCAACAACTTATATCTAGGTTAGTTAATTGGTTAACACTTCTAATTGTGTGGGCATATTGTTATTTGAGCATTACCAAATATATAAAGCTATTGGATAATCTTTAAACATTAGACTCTCATTTCTACCGGGTACCACGTGGATGGCAGGATGGTCTGGGCTCAGCCCAACCTTGTGGAGACAACGTAGAAGATTGGCAGAGCCATCTCCCATGCTGGCTTCTTGTGGGTGGCAGGGCTGGTGCCTCACAAGCCTTGTCTAGTCAGGAAGATGGCAGCGGATTAAGAACAAGCAAGATTGGGTGCCGCCGTTTTAAAACGTTTACTTCAACAGATAGGCTCATTTAATTCCAGCTTTTTCTGCAACCTGGTAACTCTTAGCTGTTCTTGTCTGAAACCACTTATGGTTTTTGCTATGGGGACTTGACCAGGCCCCAAAGCCTAGAAATTGTCTTGGATATCTCACTTGAACCTACACTAATTGGTGCAATAGCAACCCTTGCCACATCTCCTGCACACCTTGAGAAGCCTAGATCTTCTTTCTGGTTTATATTTAGAAAAACCAATCCCATTAGAAATGGCCTGTTTATCTCTCTGGCACAAAGTGCCATATTTCTCGAAGTTAACACACTGGGCATTTTGATATCAGAGATCTCTAGCTATAGTTTGACTCATGATATTAGCATGGTACACATTAGAACCAGTATCTGTGATTTTCCTTATCTACTTGTCCATGGGCACTGGCAGCATCTTTAATGGTCTAATAACTTTTTTCCATTCAATATTTGCAAGTTCTTACACCAAGGTTTCTATCAACACCTGTCTTCCATCAGAGTCTGATACGACTTTGTTCACAGCTGAGACTAGTCTTTACAAAAAATCCATGAAGGCTTCTCCAGAGCCTTGTATCATCCTTGTAAAGGAGGTGGACCTTTTCCAGGGCTCCTCAACTTTTCCCTGTTGGGTTTATGTGAGTCCCTCGTCTGCCCCACCACAGGGATAGGGCCACTCTGGGAAGCAAGACATGGGAATTTGACTGAACTCACCCCACGGAGGGCAGGCGGGCTTCTGGCTATGGAAAGGGGTCCCCTAGCCAAAAAGCTGCTGGGTAGGCTGGTTCTCAGGCTTTTGGGCCTCCAGGCACCGCTGGGAGCTTCGGAAGAGCTGAGAACAAAGTGGGGGCCTGCAGGCTTTAAGTAGCCGAGGGCCAAAGGGGATAGGGCAACTCTGACTTCGCCCCTCGGGGAGAGTCTTTGGTTTGTCAAAGTGGTCAGTTTGCTTGGATTAGTTAGTGGTCGCTGTGGCTGGAAACACAGAGAGGTCTTCTGCAGGAGATTAGACCATGGCTCTGTAGGTGAAGGCCTTCTCCATTGTTCCCCATGGTGGATCCTGATGGAAAGAGAAACAGGTTTTAAGGCTTTTATTGTCATGGCTGAGACTAGATGAAGGCTAAGCCCTTTTGGCCTTTAGTTATCTCATTAATATGGAGATCTGTCTTGAGGCTACATGACTGAAAGACACAACTCTATAGAGGGCTGTAGCCTCTTGTTTAGAGCCTGGAGTCTGGGGGTGTGGTGAAGCACATGCCATCCCTTAGGGTCACCTGGGGCCCCTCAGGATCACCTGGGATCTTGGGAGGTTTCTAGCCTGTGCTCCACCAGAAACCAGGCTGCCTTTCACGGTCCTCATTTCCCCCAGTTCTGAAAGCCACTAGGTGACATTGTTCTATAATAGCATCATCAGATTGAATCTGCTCTTGAATATCAGAGGACTGCCCTTCACTCAGCAACTCATCTTTGACTATATTCATTTCCCCCTCTATTTCACTGTTCAATTACATGGCTTCTTCCCCCGCCCACCCCACCATGTTAACCATTGCAATCGCAGACCAGAGTCTAGTATAGCTGTTACCAGCCCCTTCCAGTATTGGGGAATAATTCTGTTTTGAGTAGCCTAGTTACTTAGAATGTATTCCACAAAAGACGAATTCATTCCATAGGAAACCACAGCCTCTTTAAAATGCCTCAGATCTACCGATTTCTATAGAATGACATCATATCTCGGCATAACCCTGTTCCATCCAATTAGCAGGCACACGCTGTATGACTACTAGGGAAACTGATGGTGATCTGGTAACCCTGGGCCACCCCTTCTCTATCTCTGCTGGCACAGTTGGTTTGAGATTAATCCTTACTTTCAAAATGGGCTGTTTCATCAGTCTGTCCTCCTGCCTTTTCAGACATCTCTGATCTCACTACCCTCTGGCATAGTTTTTTTCCTCTTTCCTTCTGCAGAAAACTCCCGCTCTCTTGCTCAGTCATGGGGACTGAGCCCTTTCGTTCTCCAGTTTCTGCCACTTCTTGCCTCCCCAGCGCTTCCATTTCCACCTGCAATTTTTCCACCTGCTCAGCCATTCTCCCAACTTTTTGGAGACAGAATATAGGAAGAAAA